CTTCTCCTGAAATTCTCCCATTTTCATTGTCAAAAGACATCCCCAGGATGTTTATTCTATAATCTTTTTTAGGCTAAATATTTTACAAATAGTGTTGTGTTTTTGCATTCTTGTGTGTTATTTGATAGTGCACTTAAGCCATCTACAATATACGTTACAAAGTTTTTATATATGTAAAAGAGCAAACTCTTTGCAATACTTCTGAAAAAGTGATATAAAAATACAGTATAAAAATACAACATTCAGTATAAGACTCGCAGTTGCAGCAGCAATTTCTAGAACATAAAATCCAAGACAAGATACTTCATGAAGTGGTAAGAAGGTAAGGTGCGAAACACTGTGTAAAGGATTATTGTATAGGAGCCCTTCATAAAAGTTCCTGCCTACCCATAGTTTTTCACTCAGAATTTTAGGTGGCAAGACCCCTTGTTCTGCTTGTAACAGGTTTTCTAAATGGAATTATTTCTAAATGGATTATTCTGGGAAGAAAAAATCAAAAAAAGCAAACCCTACAAATGCCCTCCTCCCTGTCTTATTATGTATGTTCTCTTTTATTTTTTTTTTATTTTTTCAATTAAAATAACACTGTTTGTATTTTTTCTATTCCTGACTTTGATCTCTTTTATTTCTGACAACCTTGCAGTGGGATCTAGGCACAAGAGCCAGACAGAAATGGACAAAAATTGTTTCTTCAAAATACCTGTAACTCTTGAAGGATGTATTTTTAATACAGAAAAAATGAGATTGTGGGAAGTCTTTTGTTTTTGGTTTCAGAATGACCTATCATTAAAATAACTCACTACAATTTTAGGGGAGAAACAACACATTTACTACAGAAGTAATGACTGTCCAAGGACATTTCCATTTTATCAGCCTTCCCCTAGAGCAGACCTTGTCTTTGTCAGTGCTATCGGTCTTTGTATATAGCTAGAGATCAAACTGGATTTTTGCCCCGACAGTTTGACTCTGTTCGGAAAAAATCAAAGTAGGATTATTTCAGGTTTGACTTCCATCCTGGAGCATTAAGAGTAGTTCTCATGGTTTCCAGCCAGTCTTGCATAGTTATTATGGACTTACACAATTCATGCAGGAGATGTAATTGGACACAAAAAATGTGAGTTAGTGATCTTGCAGAATAATCCACACGAAAGAGGCAGCCTACAAGCTGGCAGTATTAAGTCACAGCTGTATAAGTATTTTCAACTCCCATTACAATCTAGGCATGCTTTATTTCATCTGGAATTCAGCTCTATGTGAATAAATACATTAGAAGACAAAACTAGTAATGTTAGCAGGAAAAAAAAATCTGTGCATTTCTGGAAGAGAAAAACCGACAAATTGTAAATATTAATCTTTAAAAAAAAATTAATGGTAATTATCAGTTAATCAAAAACTATCAGTATTCTTCAGGGATGGAAATAGTCTATGTCTGTGAAACTGTTGATTTTGTTCTACCTTTAAACCATGTATTATTTATTACCTTACTGTCCTATACTGACCACTTTTATTGTTTAATTTCCATCATTGGGAAAATTATCAAGACTTCTTCCAAACTTTTCTTAATGTTGAAAAAGAGATCATTAGATAACCCAGTGGTGTTCAAACACATGTCGGAGCAAAACATCAATGAGTAAATGCAAACCATATTCCATCATGGAAAAGTAAAAATTAACATCCTTAATACTTTGATAACTATGTGTTCTATCATTATGTGATAATATTAATCATGTAAAATTAATCAATACATTTAGGAAAGACAAGGTTCAGTTCACAGGACTATGGTGACATGGAAAAAGAATCTGAAGGTCAAGACTTGCATTCAGTAACATGAGAATATGTCTGGTCAGATACAATGTCCTCTGTTGGGGTATAAATTTGATCTAATGGAACAGAGTAGAAAGTTCCTCTGTGTCTGAAATTGTACACATTCTCATTTTTTTCCGGAAATTTCAGCAAAGCCATTAGGCAGTATCTACATGAAGATAAAATGAAGAATTACTTAATTCTCTCCTGTACAGTAATAATGTTAAAGTTGACATCTTTTCAAGAGAAATAAAAAAAAGATTAAAAAAGGAAGAAAAGCTGGAATGAAAATACGTGAACTTGAAATAACTGCCTTATGCTATCAAACATCAAATGTTTTATACTCCCTAAGTTTCTCTTTCCTAAATTTGAAGACACTTTCTGATGTTTTTATTAGTCAAGATAATTTACTGCTTCGAATCAGCATCCACAACTGCAAAGATTCATTTTAACAACCCTGTTTATTATTTGTAAACAGTTATTAAATAATTCCTCAAAGTTTCTAATGCATTATAAAGGCAGTTAATGAAATGATGCATAATTATTTTTTCCTACTAAAACATTTTATCTCCTCAGATAGAATTTTAAAGTGTTTTTATAACCCGGCTTGAAGTGAAATTGAATTGTATGCAAAGACTGATTGTCAAGGACATCTGAACAAATGAGGTATTCATTTTACTCAGAATCCATTGAAGGATTTCTTGATGTTTTTATTTAATTTGCTTCATATCAAGGAGCTAAGTTCTCCTTTGAGACACATCGCAAAAGACGTACAAGATTAATAAAAACCCAGGAAGTTCCTACATTCTTGCCGAGTTTGACAGAAAGTCTTAATGTTTTTCCATTTATTCCTCATGGATAAATAGAGACCAATGTTGCCATACGAGTGTTTTCGATCACAAGCCGTCCAGTCCCCTGGGTACATATACTATTTATATATCAAAATCCAATAGTGATGATAAATATATCAAGTAGAATATTTTTGAGTTAATGATACATCTCTCTAGAGATTATAGACTATATAATTGTTTTATTGTTTTATTTGTTTTATTGTTTTATTTACATAATGCCCTTTGGAAAAATTATTCCTATAGTTCCTGACAGACGTGCTGACTGAGTAAGATAATGACAGTTGTGATGCCAACCATTAAAACTCAGAAAGCTGTATGAAGAAGAATTCCATTACAAGAAAAGAGCTGTCCAGAAATCCCAAGAGATAAAAATCAAGGCATGAAAACCTGGTAGAAATGCATGTGTGTGAAAAAATGAATTGGGAAATTGTTGAGGAGTGGTTAAGCTGTGTGCAAATACCTCCCCAATACTCTAATACAGTTCAGAAGGCTGGATTACCACAGCTGTATGACAGCCAGCCATGAAACACAAATTTGCTTGAGGCTGATATATACTAACCTATTGACATTTAAGAAAATCTGAAAAGTATTCTTCACAGTTTTTGTTTCTTAGTTCAGTGATGTAAACTGCTGCCTTTATCCTTATTTAATCTCTCCATTTCTTATACTGCACTGTGTGTATGTCTCCATGCTGTTTGTATGATATGGATAATGGTTATGTTGAATTTCTGCACAAAACTTGAATCCAATAAAAGTGTGAAGAAATGTCATAAAGAAATAATAGAGCAAGAGATGAAGAGTAAATATGACCATAACATTGTATCTCTTTTTTTCTTTTTTTTTTTTTTTTTTTGTTAGAGTTCAAACTGATTAAAAGGACAAGTATTTTTGGGGGGGGAGGTTTATTGTATTTTCAAATGTTGATATTGAAAAGGTCAGGTCTGCTATGTTAATTCAGTAATACTAAACACCTTAAACTTAATAATTTGCACAGGTATTAAACCAGCAAAAAAGAAAATATGAAATGATGGATTAAAACATGCAGCTTTTTCCTATAGAGGCTGCACACTGTGCAGACAGAAATTTAAATTTATTATGATGCATAATAAATTAACTTAATTCCATTCTAATCTGTGAACATATTTTTATGCTCTGTTAAACTAAGTCACCTGCATTTAAGTCAAACTTTTGTAACACTTCTACAGCACAGGACTACTCTCAGTTCTAGAAAAGCTATAAACAAGACAAAAACCTTAGACTCACTTTCTCTTTGATTTATGTAAGTATGGATTCACATATGTTATACTGTTGAATTGCATTTCTGAAGAAGTAGAAAGCATTATGAAATGTGGAACGTCTTCGAGAAAAAGGAAAATATAGGCATTCATGGAAATAATATTTTTTCTCAGAAATAACATTATTTTGACAGAAAACAAAACCAAAAAGCAATTATAATGTAATAAATATGAGTCTTTTTGCTGCAAAAGAGCAAATAACATGACTGCCTCTAGAGGCAGATATTCCAACAGAATCAAAGTTACATATAATTTATGTTCAAATGTCAAACAGCTCCATAAGAAATATTATTGGAAGGCGTTTTCTTTTGATTTTTGAGAAAAAAATGAGTTTATGTTAATAAGATTCAGGTGCTTACTTACACAAAATTACTGCAATAATATGCCTTGATGAGACTAAAAACTACCTGGGTAACTAGCACTCATTGTAATCAAAGCTTTGTAGTGTTCTTGGTGGTATCTGATGAGTGCACTGAACTGAAGCCTGGAAGTGTAACCGGTATTTATCACAGCAACAGGTAAAGTTTTAAGCAATACAACCTCCCTTCAGCTGTTTAACCTTGTGTGACCTGTCATCTGAGATGTATGAATATATCTATCTCCTGGCATCCTGCTGCTGATCTGCACACCCCATGTGGTACTTGCCAGTCCTCCATGGATGTCTCAGATGCCTGAGGGTATCTCAGTGGCAATGGCCTCTCAGGTTGAGGCATCTGAACAGAGCCCTAAAGAAGAAACCCTTACTGAGGAGTGAGATTTGCTGCTCCCTGTCAGTGGCAAAGCACCAGAATAACAAGAATGTGTGACTGTTCTAAACAAAATACATCAGAAGGTGTCAGACTGTACCTCAGCCATGAGAGGTTAAATATTCTCACAACTGTAGATATCTTAAAAGAAAGTCTCTATATGATCACCTTCGCTTTGCTGATTGCTGCAGTAAGTACACATCCATATTGAAAATCAATGAAATCATGGTTCTTACATTAACTAGAGTATTTTTGGCTTAGTATTTTTGCTTACATGTGGTATCCAGAAATCATGTATTTCTTACCATCATTTCTCAGTGTCAGAGGTGTAGGAGGGCTCAAAACTCTGGCATTTGTCACTGTGTTTTTTACCAGGCATATATAGCTGCCGACATCAGATGTTTGCACCTTGGAGATGTAGAGATTGCCTGTCTCCTGAGAGATGAAGCGTCTGCTGTCTTCTGCCACAAAAGATGGGAATTCATTAAATACCCAGCTATAGATGATCTCTGAAAGAATAATAAAAAAAAAGGATAAAGTAATTATGGAAAAAATATTGTGTCATGTTAACGGATACACTCAGTAAATGTTCATTGACTTCATTTAAAAAATATAAAAATAAAAAAGGCTAAAGTTTTTTTATACTTTTTATTTGTTTGGATTAAAATTAAGGAATTTTTTCCATAGAATAAGTGTTGAGTCCATAAGTTCCTTTGAAAGACAGATTAAATAAATTAAATGATGCAACAGACTCAGAATACATCCATAAATTATTAGATATTTCCCTTTTCCAATCTTTCACATCAAGACAAAATTAATGTACAAAACATTCTTTTCTCTACTTATCCAAATCAGCAGTGAAATATATTAAGATGCTTCCTTATAGGGCTAGAGGTGAATTTTGAAAGTGCGTGCATAAACAGTCTTTATTCTGAGTACCTGTTTTTAAAATCAGCAGTTTCTAATAACTGTCCATCCTACCTTGCAGGTAGTATTAGTGCACTACACTTCTACTTTCTTCTACATCTGTTTCACTGAAGAGTCTCAGAACTCCTCCTGTAGGCAGCTTAAATCCTTGTATTCAATGAATGACTCCTTAACCCAAAACCTACTAGCTGATTTGCCTCATGATCTGGTGGACTGAAGACTAACCAAAGCAATTTTTAAAAATGGCAGTTAAAGCCAGTCCCTAGGTTCTTCTTTTTACCCTACAAATTACTCAAATCATTCTGTTCACCTGAAAAGTATATACTTTTTTCTTTATAATCATAATAGTTGGTTGAGAAAAAAAAATTGCTATTATTCTCTGTGTGATTATATAAGCATTTATTAAAAACGTACGTGCGTTATTGTCTCGACATTAGAAGTACCAGTGATGTTAGTGATATTTATCAAGGAATTCCTTGTAGGGAATTATTCATATAGAGTTGCACAAATTCAGTCTTTAAAGCCTTAACCATATTTTTTTACCTTTTTACATGTTGTTCTTCCATCATCTTATCTTCTATTTCATTTTGTTTGTATACTTTAAAAAATATCCTTCACTACTTAAACTGGCACATTAGTTATAAGGCAATTTCTACTGTAATATCTCCCTGTGTCAGTCTTTAAAAAATTGACTCCAAAATCAGAAAAGCTGAAGCTAATTCAGGTATATAAAGTCTCTACTACTGCTTCAAGATGTGAGCTGCTTTGTTGATATAGTAAGTTTCAGCTTCAGAAGCAATATGAAGACAGTGATTGCAGGTATATAGAATCATAGAATCAGAATCATAGAATCA